GTGATGAGTGAAAATGAATGATTGTCAATAAATGATAAAATAAATCTAACAACAGGAAAGAAACTAAAGTGGACATAGCAATAAACCAAGAGATGATAATACTAATCAATGAAAACTAAATAGAAATGAATGAAAAACAAAATGCAAGAATAAACTAAGAAACTAAAGTAAATACAGAGGAATAAACTGGTATGGCAAGACCTTTAGAGCAATAATTAATACAGAGGACTGTATGGCAAGAATAAACTGACACGGTTTTCAGATATAAGGTAAAATAATATTGCTGAAGTGCCATGGGTTTGTTGAGACCACATCTAATACTGAGAATAAATATATCTTAACAGTAACAAACTTATCACTTATTTATGTTTTTAATTAGATTTGATATATTTATTTCTTCAATATTACTTTTCATGTCAGTGTTATTGTCATGAGGCTGACGACTCCATGACACTTTCAATTTGACTCATTAGGATTTGTTCTTTGTAATTTCTGTCCAGTAAAACTATTAACCTATAAATCAATAGACACGTCTATATAAAGATATAATCCATGTTTCTGTCTCATATTTGTATAGCATTAAAACCTGGACCTGGAACTTTTGTTTTTCCACTGAAAGCTCTGGTTTGCACAATAAATGCCATGTAGGTGAAATTTTATGGCTGATACTCTGATGTCCCATTCTCCTGAAGGCAGCACAGCGCTGCACCACCAGAAACCGACAGACACACTGAAGAGAAGAAGAGCTATGATTAATGTAGTTACAGTTCTATCCATGTTTTAATGCTGCAGAGCTCAGTCGGTTTGCAAATAGATCAAAGTTTAAACTGGCATGTTGTTCATCTTTTATCTGATCATTTTGTGGAATATTTAACAACTAGAAAATGGCAAAGAATAAGAATATTTTTTCTACTCTGGTTGGCTGCTGTCAGGCCTACTGATTTTAAGTTGAATGTTCATTGCATTTTTCTTAGACACCTGTGAAAATAATTTATATTCAAATTATTAATAATAATTATAATTAATTATTTATCATCAAAATAATTATTTTTGATGATACATACAGAAACAAGCATAAAAATCAAAACATCTATATTAGTGATATTATTTTATTAATAATAAAATAATAGTCAGTTCAAAGTAGCTTACAAATTCTTTGGTGGGGGCGGTGATGGACCTGGATAAAGGCTAGGGGGGCGCTGGCCCAAAAAAGGTTGAGAAACACTGTTCTAGATCAAATTTACCACGAGGGCCAGGGTAGTCAATGTTTTTCCATGGCAACACTTAAAAAGAGAATGAAACAAAAAAAAGAGCAATATTTCATCATTTGATATATCAAGTAAGCCAAAGAGCCACTTGTGTCTCCAGAGATTCAGGTTGCAGATCCCTGGCAGATGGAACGTATGATCCTATTTCAATACAGCAGCTAAAAGTGCAGCACTATAATTTTTAATTAATTGATAAAGTAAAATTGTGAAGGTTAAAAAAAATCCACCTCTGAATATTAACAAAATACATTTATTTAGCATAATTTGTTCTGTACCCCCGTTGACCCCGATCTAGAACCGCCCCTGGGCAGAAGGTCTATGTCTGACATTAATAATACATTAAATGACCACTGAACACTGAATTAATATGTCAACTTTTCTTAATAAAACAAACAGAAAGCCCTAGCAAATCTTTTTAAAGTAGGAAATATTTATGTATTTACTGTTAAACTCTTAGTATGATTTGTTCTTTAAATGGCCATTTTTCTATTATTTTGGCTGATACAACTATACATTAAATAAGCAAATAATTAATTATCTAATAATAAAACCATAACAGTCTACTAAAACCACAATAAGAAACTTAATCATAGCAAAATGTTCTATACCATATCATCCTCAGGAGATGATTGAGGGACGAAGGATGCTGGTTCTTTACGTTCTGACGGGTCTGCAGTTCCTCTCCTGATCCATTCTGTCTGACATCATACAGCAGCACACTGCGCCATGATGGACACATTTGTTTTAATTGCCTGCGTTCATCCTCACTAACATGTTCAGCCTAGGATTTGAGTCTTCCCTCTAACCAGGGGCGTAATTACATGTTATTCAGGTGGATGCAAAACCATAAATCGCGCCCCCCCCCCACCACCACCAAGGAAGGTACGTAAGGGTTAAGGAGCGCAGAAAACATACGGTCGCTCTTAACCCCCCCCCCCAAAGAGGTGAAGGAGCGTAAGGGCGCGGTGAAGTGTATGCGAAGGCATCATCGGGGCGCCGCCCCCTCCACACGGGGTTTTGACGCCCCCTCTGGTGCAGCGCCCCTATGCGTTGCATGCGCTGCATACCCACTTTTTGCGCCACTGCCTCTAACGTTTGTATCTTTACGAGAGGTTTTGGTTCTAAGGACGGTGGAGAATCGGGTTGAGGATGTTTTTAAAAGACAAGGGTTGGCAGCTCACCGCGCTGCATAGTGTCCGTCTCTAGGCAACCGTGACAACAGCGTTGGTCCATAGAGTTCTGGGGTCCTTTAGCTCCCACCACGAAAATTTAGCTGACCGTAATATTATCCTGTATCTTGTGTTTTATTTTGGTCATTATTGTTATAATTAGTGTTGATATGTGTGTGATAGGCGTGTCTATCGGCATGTCTTTGACATTTATAGAAATACGGAACAAATCGCGTCCCGTATCGGTTCAATACAGGACGCAATATTTAACAGCAAATAACCGGACGATTCCGTATTTTAAGGGACGGGTGGCAACCCTAATCTCAAGTAATATTTTCCTGTTGCCTCTCCCTCAGGTGTTTCCTTGTGGCACCTTGGATTTCACCCACTGTATAGCCCGAGTTCCTGGTTTTCTGGTTTCCCCTCGTGACGCTGTGGATTGTTACCCAATGGTTGCCAGAATCCCTCTTCACCGCAGCTGAAGAATCTTTGACAGTTCCTGGTTTCTCGATTGGCAATCGAACCGCTCCTCACTTCTCCTCACAAGAACTTACCTGTCCGTCCTCCACCGCAGGCCTCTTCCATCTACTTCCAAAGAACTCTCCATCAAGATCACACTGAAACCTGGATCATCTCAAGAACCCCCCCTTTGCAAAGAGATCATAACTCCAGAGACCACAGTACTTCTCCCCCTGGTGGAAACTTACCACTTCACCAAGTAAGATCATTCCATTCCCTTAGCATTCAACTTGTCCAACTTGTAATCAGTCTCACCATCTCTGTCCCACTCTCTCCAGAGTTCTGATGACCCCAGCTTCCCATTCACAGGACAAGAATCACACAATCTCATACTTCATTATTGTTAAAATAAACTTTATCTGATTTCCTGTTCTCCTGATTGTGTTCTGTATGTGGGCTACAAGACATGAACTCAACTTGACACTGTGTTCCATGACTTTGTATTTTTGTCTTTTTATGATGTAAACCACTTTGAAATGCCTTGTTACTAAAATGTGCTGTAAAAATAAACTTTAAAAAAGGGGGCAATGCTAAGTATTTTCCAATGACAATTACTTAAATCACCTTCATTTGTTATAAAAATGCTTCATATACCAAACATGACTTAAAAGAAATCTGGCATCAAAATTTAACACCTTAAAATTGGTCCTCTGTCTCTTTAAGAAACTTCTACTCTATCCAACACTCCACTTTCAGAAAAGCAGAGTATTTCTGAAGGTCTATTAATGTCTGTATATATTACAAAAGATGCATAAACCGGCTGTAAGATTACAATATTACATCAGAACAGTACAGAAAACATTTTTAATACAGAAATGTTGGTTTAAGGACATGTTATTAAAAGTTCATTTTAATCTGACAAATAAAAGCCTCAATAGAAAACATGTTCTAATATACATTGGGAATACTGAACATGAGTGTAATATGTAAACTAGCTTCAAAAGAGTTACTTTAGTTAGAGCATCCAATGACTGGTTCTAAGGAGAACGTTTAGGTAGAAAAGTATGACTGTGAGAGGCGTATTTTCTTTTACTGCCTGATAATTCGCTCACCTTTCTGCAGGGCTTGGAGGAAACCTCAAACGAAGCCTTAAAGGCACGTCTCTGCTGCGTGGTGAGAATGGTGCGCGGCCGTTTAGGACGCCGAGGATCTTTGCTGTCATCATTCCTTTTCTCTGCTGTGATGAATTTTTCTGACTTTACATCTGAAGTCTCTTCCTCACTCTTTTCTGTGAGTGAACACATAACAGATCACAAATAACACCTTTTTTTTAATTCTGATCCTTTTTAACTTGCATGGTAGAATTCAACATGAACAGAAATAGACGTGAAGAGTAGCACAATGGGATATACAGTAGAAAGCACTAAATTAAGAGGAAACACCCAATTATACCTGAATCTGAACTGTCTGGGCTCATGGTCCTCAGCAGGTCTCTTTCTTTCACATAGTCTGCCTTACACAGCAGCTGTTGACCAGCCTTCAGCACAAACTCATCTCCTTTGCTCAGCCGGCGCTCACAGACACTGCAGCAGAAGCAGCTGAGGTGGTAAACACTCTGCACAGCTCGCATTACAAACTCTGTTGGAGCGATTTTCTCCAGACAGCCACTGCACTTGGTGAAAAATAATCTGAGGACAGAAAATTGAGAGAATACTTAGAATTGAAGTGATTTTAATTAACATCATTATGGGACTTTAACCTAATATCTAAATGATTTGGCACAAACAAGTCAGCAAATATCACAACAACCAAAAGATTTGGAGAAAAAAAGAAAATAGTAAATACAGCAGAGTCAATACCATGCCCTAGTGTACTGTATGCCCTGATTAGTCATAATATTATGACCACTGATAAGGTAAGTGAGTGATCATCCTACAGTGCAACATTTTGAAGACAGATTTTTATCCAGGTTATCCAGACATTAATTTAGCAATTGAACCTCAACCTATAAGGTTTTGCAGACAGGCCCCTACTTCTCTGACTGACAACACCTTTCTAACAAAGGCTCTTCCAGCAAATAAAAATAAAAAGATTATGAGCATGATATGCACTGTATTTTATAACTGTCATAAAAATTAAGAACTGGAAAAGAAGCAAGATGTCAGAGCATAATGTTCGACTACTTAGAATGATTTATTGTTTCTACCCAGATAGCACAGAATGATTGAAACAACATTG